AGTCCCTGTATATTCTTTATATTCTGTTCAAGACTTTTCATTTTCCTGGCCATCTCATCTGGCTCAACAGTCGTGGCAGGCTTTTCATTTTCCACTGGTGATTCGTACCGAGGAGTCTGATTGTATGGAGCCGAGACCCCAAAAGCCATATTTGGAGAATAGTATTGGCCATCATAAGCATGAGATGGTGGCTCATTGTTTGGCCTCGTCACAGGTGGTGGCGGTGGGATTGTATATACCGGTGCGCCAGACACGACGAGAGGGGTGTTCCTAACCTGTGCGACTGGAGGTCGCATATTAGAGGTACCGGGGGCAGCATGGAGGCTGTAGTTTGGCACATACCCTGGTGGTAGAATTGGATCGCTCGTTGCATGAAGCGGTGTTAGAGTAGCCTGGGGTATGGTGGAAGTTCCCTCTGAAGGACCCTGGGGTGGAGGTCGACCGGAAACCCAAGCTTGATATACATCTGACAGTTGTTGTCTCAATTTTCTTATTTCCTCCGACTCTTGCTCAACTGACTGACCCTGCGGATTGTCACTGACCAACTCGATTTCATCACTATTATCCATTACCACTGCTCCCTTAGATCTTGTGAAGTAATGATGTGTTGCCAGTTTTCACCACAAACCAACCACCTTAAGCTTACTGGTTAAGAGGCAACAAATGTGTTAGGGTTAAGCATTTTGCAGATAAGAATCACACGTAGATATGCTATGCTCCTAAAATATCATCATCTCTAATATGCTTTTGGAAGGCTTCATGTTTCATTCCGGCTTATCAGTTGTTATTTATTGACAATGTTATTTCCTCCTTTCACTCGCCTTATTTTGATCCCTTACTTTGGTGTCATTTGACAAATATTTGATCGAACCTTTTGTCGGTTGCCTATGTATCATGTCGCCGCATGAATCAGATCATTACGTAGTTCAGGTACATTAACCCCCTTTCTTTTTTTTTTTTTTTACAAAACAAACATCTTTTTTGGTTCATTTTTGAATTTTTCTTAAACAAAAATCTTTTTCGTTGATTTTCAATAAACGTGTTTTTTTTGTTTTTGTTTTTTTATTTTTTATACAAGACTCGAAAAGCAAGAATTACATAAAGATAAACAAGACCAGACCTGACTCAAACAGACTTCTTAGGATAAAAGGCGAAATAACAAGACTCAAAACACCAAAAGACTCTCATTGACTCAAAAACAACAAAAGGATAATGAAAAAAAGACCGATAACTAAAAGAAGACTTTGATCTTTGCAATAGAATCCACCAGCATCACTGTAATCAAGGCGCTTGTTCCTGCGGCTGACCCCCAACATTGCGGTATATCCTCTCCAAGTCTGCAGATATATGACGAGCAACGTTCAAAGATACTTCTGCAAACCGCTCGGGCGTCATTCCCTGACAACTCATGCAAGCTCTTGAGGTATACGTGGCTACCTCGAGGATCTTTCCCTTAATGTATTCCTGAGCCACATGCAGCTCTTGATTTTGCTGACCACGGGTCTCAGCTAGATCCAGAGCATCACGCTCGCGGTCTAAGGCCATATCTTTCTGGCGCCGATTTTCTAGTAACTCCCCCTCCAACCGGTTGATCATACTCTGGTAGTGATGTCTTTCTATTTCAAACTCCGCGATCTGGCTCTCCTTGCTTGACTCAACTCCCCCTATCTGATCCCTCAGACCTTGGATTAACTGAGCAAAACCTCTACGCTTGTGATCACGGACTACCCTGAACTGGGCTTCTCTCTCTTCTTGTTGCTGAGCGGTTGCGACTATGTTCTTCTTTTGAATTTGGGCTTGGAGTGCTTGCTTCTCTCGTGCCCACTGAGCCTTTTCCCGCTCAAAATCAGCCTGTTGTATGTCCATGGCTGTCTCCAGAATTCCCTTATCTTCTTGTAAAGTGTCAATACGAGACTGGAACTCTTGTGCCACTTCCCTTTTGGTATCTCTAACTCTGGCCTCTATCTCTTCCTCCCAATCAACTGCATGCCGTATGGATCTTTCTGGCCTTTGCTCGGGGATAGCCTGGTTGTGAAACCACTCAAGGTATGCACGTTCACGATTAGCTACCATCTCGTCTATATCAGAAAATCGACCACCAAACCAAACCTTTTGTGCATAAGACTCCCTTGGAGGTTCCTCTCCCTTGAATTCCCACACGAACGGACGCATGTCTTCAATCGGGGGCCTCTTTTGCTCTCTCCCTAGCTGGCGCATGACGCGAAGGGGCGCGTAGGGTTGGAAACCTCTGAAACCCATGAGTATGAAGAATGGGCGATATGTCGACATATGCATGACCCTAGCAGAAGGGAACCAATAATAGTTCCAAGTGATTCTATCCGCATTCAATGAACCAAGTAATTTCCGCCAGGCCCTCACCCCATCTGGAAGATTACAACTTGCGGCCCTGCCTGGGTGACATCCAATGTAATTCAGCCAGTTTTCATTGAAATTTATTACCATTGGATGATGATAAAGGTGCTCTATGAACCACATCTGCAGCAGAATGTTGCATCCCTCGAAGTAATCTTCACCCTCTTGGCATCGGGTCAAAGCTCGAAAAATATCTCCCAAAATCATGGGAAGAATGGTATGATCCTCGCTACTTTGCAAATACGAGACTACCGCGACCAATCGAATTCTGATGCGCCTACCACGCTCTGGAAAGACCATGATCCCTAGAAATGATATCATGAACGCGAAGATTCTCAACTCCCTCCAAGCGTCGTAACTCAACTGGTTGACGAATTCTATGCCCGAGAAATTTTCAAACCCTTTCTGTCCCCAAACCTGTCATAGAGATATTACAACGGAACCCAACCTTCGTTTAAGCAAACCATTGGAATTCGACGGAGGCATAATTTCTTTAAAAAGTTGTTCACACCAACTTTTCTCGGAGCAGCAGGCTTTTTCCCACGAAGGTCTCTCTCCAATCCGGTGAACCCACCTAATTCTTCCAATGTGGGCGTCATTTCACAATCTTTGAACCTGAAGACATTGTTCGCGGGGTCCCAAAAACCCACTAGAGCCTCGATTAAATCTCTGTTAGGCTTAATTCCCATGATGTTTGTGAGGAACTTGAGGTGCTTAAATACTCGATTTCGTTCCCATGTAACAAAACTAGCCCACCAATTACAGAGACCCGGGGTCTTATCTCTGATCAAGAACATAGGAGGTGTCTCGTCCCTTACCCTTTTCTGACTGCTTCTTTGTGGAGAACTCATGGTGATCCTAAGAATAAGATAAAAAGGGTTAAGACTTACCTAAACTATATGCAAATTATGATCATTCATTATTTTATTTTATTTTTTGGCCAATTTAGGACTCGATCTATTTTGTTTTATTACAATATAGATTTTGAGATTACCGAAAACAGAAGTTGAGATGATAAAAGCGGAAAAAATGGCTATTGTTACAAATACGGCCCTTTGATACTTCCATGGAAGGCATAAAGGATGTCTCAGCAAAAACAACCAAATACAGGAACAAAATGATAAAAATAGACAAAAGAAAAACTATTTTTACGAAAATGACCCTTTGCTACTCCGAGAGGGGTTCAAAAGCTATTTCAGATAAAAAAACAAGACAAAACTGGAAAAATGGCTACTTTTGCAAAAATAGTCTTTCGGTACTTCCGGAAAGGTTTAAAGCTGCTTCGACAAAAATGGCCAGACATAAGGGAAAAATGGTAAAAGGTGAATAAATATGGATAAAGTATCTATTTTTACAAAAATGGCCCTTCAGCACTTCCCAGAAAGATTTTAAGGCTGCCTTGGCAAAACAGCCAGAACATGAGGGCAAGACAGTAAAAAGGTGACCAAAATAGGTTCTTTTTTTTTTCGAAAATTTTATGAACATGCGGGATTTTATGCTCCCCTTTTTTGAAAAATATGGGCTGAACCCGATGGAGGTTGCCTACGTATCTCACATCCGGTGAGAGTCAAACCCGCGTAGTTCGGTAGAACTGGATACTTTTCCCTTTTTTTTTTAATCAAAATTAATCTTTACAACTCACACCAGACTACTACAAAATATATATATATATATATATATATATAT